ATATATATATATATATATAAATTAGAGAAATGCAAAATAAAGTGGTCTAGGCAAGTCGACTTAAGTGGGGAAAAATACAATGTTACAAAAAAGTAAAATACGGCTTCTTAATTTATCTATTCTGAATCTCGTTTTAGAAATTTGAAACATTTAAAAAATGTTAATGATTTAAATCATTAAAAAAAACATTCCTATACTACTTTATAAAAGTAAAATATTTATTATATTTAGAATATTTGTGATGTCAGAGTTCATTCCTAAATAATAAATACTAATAAATTAAAGACTTTTAACTTTTAAAACAAACTTTTATTCTGCTAATATTGATTTAAATCGAAAATTATATTAAATTCGATAAATTAAATTCGATATTAAATTAAAAAATCAGATTAGTTATGAATATTGATACATCACTTAGTGAAATGTTATAACATGAAATAATGTTAGTATAAATGGTAGGCTGTTTTAATAAAGAGAGATGGTCTTGTGTCCTCAGTAATGGCAGCCTGTCCAGAAAGCCATTAAACTATCGACTGGCGAAGCGTCTGGTGTTCCGGAAGGTTCGGAAGGCGCTGGGGCTGGATCGCTGTACGAGGTGCTACACCGGAGCAGCTCCCATAACCAAAGACACGCTGGAGTTTTTCCTCAGTCTGGACATTCCTCTGTTTGAGCTCTATGGCATGAGTGAGAGCTCTGGACCGCACACCATCTCACTGCCCGATGCCTTCAGACTCACCAGGTACTGAAACCTTCATTTGTGTAAAGCTAGTTTAATCATTTCAGCTTTAACGTTTAGTTTATTTCTCATTTGTATTCTCAGCTGTGGAAAGGTAATTCCAGGCTGCAAGACGAAGATCTTCAACCCTGACGTTGATGGCAATGGAGAGATTTGTTTCTGGGGTCGTCATGTGTTCATGGGCTACTTGAACATGCCCGATAAAACCGAAGAGGCTCTGGATGCAGATGGCTGGCTGCACTCGGGTGACCTCGGAAAACACGACCAGGATGACTTCCTGTTTATCACCGGACGCATTAAAGGTAATGACCATCAATCAAAAACAGATTTGTACTTCCTCTTATTCACTGGAACTGAAACCACTGAGCAGTTTATAATTTCACTAGTACACAGATTTCAATGTGATTTAGTCTGGTGCATGTAATGAAGTTTATGTTTGTATCCCAGAACTGATCATCACAGCCGGAGGTGAAAATATTCCCCCAGTGCCCATTGAGGATGCTGTTAAAGAGGCCGTTCCGCTCATCAGCAATGCCATGCTTATCGGAGACAAGAGAAAGTTCCTCTCCATGCTGCTCACCGTTAAGGTATCAGTACAGGGCAGATGACCACAATATAAACCTCTGTGTTAAGGTTGTCCACTATTAACCTAACCAGGTACAATGTGATAGAGCAACAAGTGATCTTATCCACACATCTGAGCTTCTTTCTTAACCAACCATGACTGACGAGTGTCATGTTTGATTTATATTTCTGTGGCCTAGTGCTAAGTGACTCTTTTTCACCAAAATCTCATCAGCGGTGATTTTTCCTCCGATAACTAAGACAAACCTCTTGTTGCATTGTGCCTGCTTAGGAAACATTGTTAAACATAGTTCATGACTAAAAAAATTATTGATTCATTTTTAATGGCCACCTTGTGTAATCCTGGCCGATGTCATGCTCTCCTGAACGTGAATGCTGTAAATCTAATCAGAACATCTCATCCAAGGGCTCTTACACAAAGAGAGTTGGGTTATGTAAGTTTACTGAGAGATAACACTCATTTTAAAGATGCATGAGTACATTTTTACTACACGCTAATGAGATCATATCAGTATGATCAAGTGATAAATGTTTTAAGTGTTATCAAACAGCGTTCATAAACGTAAAGCCGCTGCTAACTAGTGGACAAAGAGTGTAACTACATGTTCTGCGGTTTTTCTCGGCATCACTGCGCCCCCTAGTGGCAACCAACAATACTTTTAAAAAATCCGTTTATAAATTGAAAGATTTAACTAATTAGTGGCGTTTGCTAAGGCAAGTGAGCACTATTATTATAATATATACTTAATAAATATTTAATGTTGCTCATATAATATTTCCTTAGGTGTGTAACTTGTCCCGTACCATTGTATTCTGATATGAATAATGATTCAAAAATGGTGTAATTTGTTGAGTACATGTGATATTACTTCTCTAAGACACTGGATTTACAGTTTTTACGCAGTGGACAATAAAAAAACGGTAAAATGAGGGAACCGCATCATTTCTAGAGACCAAATTAAGAGAAACCCTAGCAACTGCATAGCACGTATTCGGAACACCTGATTAAAAGCCGTCGGAACACGATAAAGGCTCAATATGTAAGATTTTTTTTATTAAAATATCCAAAAACCACTAGAACAGTGTTATATATTTTGCTGACTTGTGTACTTACATTATCCCAAATGTTTGGAAGAATGTTTAAATCCAGAGAAATAAGCAATTTTAACTAGTGACACGGAGCGTGTCCATAGTGGCATTGTGTCGCCTGCTAATGACGTCATAACCCCGCGATTTCCGGTTTTGTAGAAAACATGGAAACACCAAAGACGCTTTAATATGTTGTGCGTTTTATTAGACAGGTGACGACCGCACAGAGTAGCATAATAACAGAACTTTCAAATGTATCTAGTATGATAAAACAGCGCTGCTTTTTTCCCCACATACGCACGACCGGAAGGAACGGAAGCGGTTGACTGTGGCATAATAAAAGCTCCGCTGCTTTCGAGCCGTGTGTCACGCTCGTTCAGTGGTCTCGTTTCGCTTCGACGGCTTTCAGCCTCACCCTGCTTCATTCTACGACGTTAATAAATCATTAGCTCATCCATGAACATGATTTCTGACCGAGTCCCATCGGATTGCATCGGCTGTGGGGATGAAGACGACAACTCCCATGATTCCACACTCAGACTTAAACTGGATTTAACGTTACATATTGACGGGGAAATGTTTTAATAAAAGACGTATTTATATTTAATCCAATATACATAACTTACCGTTAGAAAATGCTTATGGCTCTTCTGTTTTTGCTCTCAGTGTCAGGTAAACAACGAAACGGGCACTCCCGAAGACGAACTGACTCCTGAGGCGGTGGAGTTGTGTAGTAAACTCGGCAGCAACTCCACACGAGTCAGCGAGATCGCCGGTGGCCGTGACCGAGTCGTATACGCGGCTATTCAAGAAGGCATCAACCGCGTCAACGAGAAAGCCACCTCGAACGCCCAGCGCATCCAGAAATGGACCGTTTTGGAGAAGGATTTCTCTATCCCTGGCGGAGAGCTGGGTACGTTTCCTAGTAATTAACTTTTTGTGTGTTATTTAAGGCTTTTGTGAGTAAGGCTTTTATGTTGATTAAAGTCTATAGAGGCTGTTTGTTTAGCTGTTTTAAACTCTCTCTCACAGGTCCCACGATGAAGCTCAAGAGGCCAGTGGTCATGAAGATGTACAAAGAACAGATTGAGAACTTTTACAAAGAAGTCTTGACCCCAACCACCCCAGACAACCCTCTGCCTCCTAAATAGGTGTCCAACAAAAGGCCTTGTCACCCACTTCAGAGATAGGAGACGAAGGGACTGACATGGTCTAAAAAACACACTTACATAGGAACACCACTCAGACCTTGTTTTGCTTGTCCATTTTTGAGTTAATATTTGTTCAGGGTTTTGTAATTGTTGTTCATTTCATACTGTTTACATTTTTCTGTTTTATAGCAAGAAGGAAAACATGTTTATAAAAAACAAAAAGCCATTTGTGAATTTGACTTTTTTTTATTTTTGTGGCGATTTACTATTTATTTTCTTGCCTAATTATAAGGGTGTCTTTTAAGCCATGTTCTTGATTTATATGTAAGTGCAGGTGACTTGAATGTCTGTGTTCAGAGATAGCAGTTAATGTATGGTTAAATTTATCAACAAAGTTTGTGAAATCTTAATACCTAACAAGCAAGCTTACACATCAGGGATGACTGAATACTTTGAGAAAAGCATTTTGTGGTTGTGCTCTTTCGTCAATGGCACTGCTGCCACCAAAAACACTTGATTGTTTAAAGGAAACTAGGTGTTTGTTAAGGAACAACCTCGAGACATTCTGTGAAGATCATTTAGCAAGAATCCCATTCCATATAAGCCATAAATGTTTCTGTTTGTATGTTTTTTTTGTAACCAAATGTGTCATTTGAATGTTTGTTTCGCTTATGCAGTTGGTTAATTTTGTCATTTGAATTCTTTGTAAAATGAATCTGTTATATAGTGTAAATACATATTGCATACATTTGTTTTTCTGATTTGATGCTTTGGTGCGTCACTCTGACAATCCTCAAAGTAGCAAGAGGTTGGATGTCATGCAGTCTCGTGTCAGCATGAGCTTTATGAAAAACCATATAATATGGATTGAGAGAACAGGTTAATATTTATTTAATGAAAAAGGGAAGAAATGAAGAAGCTGGTGTGAGGAGGTCAGAATTTGATTCGCCAAGCTGTATTGCATTATTTTTTGCTTTGCATGTGCAGAAAGTATATTTCGACCAAAAATGTAACTGATTTTATTTCAATTGTATACTGCATAGTAAAAATGATAACAATGCAATATAGAAAAAGCATATGGATTGATCAAAGAGGTTAAATGATCGAACTTTGGAAAGTTTGTGAATTGGGAAGTGCTATTTAATCAGTCAAGTGCAAAAACAACTGCAAATCACTTAAAGCAAATCCAAAGAAATGATTTTCCCTCTGTAAATGGATTAGTTTTAACTCACTAAAGAGCTTTCCTCAAATACTGGACCTGGTAGTGTGTATACTCTCTGACTGCATAGCATGACCACAGCGAGGCACTTTGTAAGCATAGGAAGACTTTGTTTAATTTGTGCTTGAAATGAGACGTTGAAGAAGTTGTTTGCTCAATCAGAATTGGTGAGAATGAAGGTAGAGCTACGTTGTTTATACATGAAATATATTTATAAATAATATGAATTATATGAATATACATATATGCATGTAATATTTTCAAAAAAGATATACATGCATGTGTCTATTAATATATACACATAGTAAATATACACAGTACACACACATAAGTAAACAAAAACTTTTATTTTGGATGCGATTAATCATTTGACAGCACAACTAAAAATACTTTAAAAATGTATGTTTCTACAAAAAAAACATTAAGCAGCAGAACATAATATAAAATGTTTCTTAACGACCAAATAAGTATGAGGATGATTAGAAGGATCATGTGACGCTGAAGACTAGACTAATGGCTGCTGAAAATTCAGCTTATCCATCACAGGAATAAATTACTTTTAAAAAAAAAACATTAAATACATTCATTTTAAATTGCGATAAGGTGTCACAATATTACCGTTTTACCTGAATTTTCATCAAATAAATAATTGTAAATATTCATAAAATAAAACGCAATAAACGTACCTGTAATACAATACTTAACCTGAGATTTATAGATGATTAAGCAGTTTAGATGGCTCCCAACAATGAAACTAGTAATAAAAGACGCTGTGAACAGTACTCAATTGACTTTATTCATAATATGATTTTGCAATAAAAACATAAAAAGTAACAACTTTTGCCCTTATTACAACTTGCATCAAATGGCCACATGGTGGCATCGTATGCCAAGTTTAACACATCATACTAAAGGTTACTCTTCTGTTCAGATCACGGAAGGTTTTCTGTCACGTTATCAGTACATGTAAAAACCCAGACCTCCCCAAACCCCACGGATAAATACAGCAAGTTCTTCCTCGCTCACAAACACAAATAAAACCACCACTGACTGACAAAAGACAGCTCTCTGAACCTGCAAGCGAACTATGTGAAAATGATGCCGTATTAACCGTCGATTAATGTTTCCTCAGATTCCTGTAGATAAGACGCCCACTGTCTACTATACATGTGTATCTGTGTAAAGTGACTGTCTGAAATATTTGCCCCTCCATTAGTGTTACTTTGCTGCATCCCATGTACAAAACACAGAGGTTCTCCACTTTTCTGCTGGGGGAAAAAAAGAGCTTAGCTTGTTTAACCGTGACAAGTGCCACAAAACCACTCGAAGACAAGCAAACCAGCTTTTCAGCTCGGTTTAAATCAAATACATTAACAAATACTTGTTCATTTCGCAAATCTGCAGTCCTCCCCTTGTAGTGGATAATAATGAGGCTACAACAAAACAGATGCTAGATGTCAACTTGTAGAAATTCAACTCTGATATACAAACACACCCTGCCATGAACTCATAAATTGGCCTGAAGTAACATTTTCAAGTTCTGATGGTCACGTTTAACAGTCTATGAGGATATAATGTGCAGATACAGAGGGGAAAAAAAAAAGAAAAACTAAAATTCCATAAAAACTGGCATTTCTTGACAATAATTGACAAATTAATATCATATTGCATGTAAATATTGTATAAAACTATTAAAAATACAATTTAGACAATTAAGTCTTTGAGTCAACAAAGCCAAAAGTGCAGAGGTACATAAATAAAAAATAACCCCCTCAAATAATGTTTAAAAAAACAGCAACAACAACCGGGTGTGCTCTTTTCAGAGCTGCCACTCAAGTTCACTGAACTCAACCCCCTTTGCCTCGTGTCCCACCTCTTTATGACAGGCTGACCTGAACCAGTATCCGGTCAAAGGTTAAAGTTCACACACCAAGAACTGGGAGTCAAAAGTTCACACACATGACACTCAAGCATTCTCTCGTTGAAAACCGCACAAATATGCTAAATCAGTACAAAGCCATAAACATTTTTGTTCGTTAACATTCAGGCGAATCAGCTGGAGATTCAAAACTCGTGCAAACGACACTCCCAGACTCTCGCAGGGTGAAGTTAAGGGCATGTGGTCTGCAGCTCAGGCCACGGAGCCTCTTAAAGCTATTAGCATAACAATGGACACAGAGGTGAAGTCAGTGAAGTCGAGATATAGTCGCTCTGAGAGAGAGTCAGAGTCAGAAGCACAGTGAATCTACAGACTGCTGTTTCAGGGGCCACATGAGAGGAAAACAGCGCGTCTCGTCCTTTTCTTTTGTCTCTCCCGCTTAGTCTAATGAATAAACCAGACATGATGACAGAAAACACTGAGATCAACACAGATTTCCAAATACTTTCACAAGCTGCACTAGCAATGCACGACATTTAAGTTCTAAGGCCCGTTTGGCGAACACATAAATGAGGATTGATACAGATTGGCATACAAATCAGAATCACCCTGGGACGATATCCAGGGATCCCACATATACAGAAGGATTGACTAAACTCGGAGTGAAAGATAACACTGCTGTAATTCCTAAGAGCACAAATGAGATGGTGTGAAAAAGGCACTAAGTCTAGCACTAGAGGATAAAAAGCGATACATTCATGGCGTGCGGGGCTTCCTTTTCCGACCACAATCAAAAATACCTTGAAAAACATTGGTACAAAAATAAAATATAAAAGGTTGCAACCCTTGATGCATCAGTGTGTATGGCTACAGGGAGACTTTTTTTTCTTTCCGGCTGATTCGAATATGACCCTCTAGCAGTTCTGGCCCCGTTAAGAAGATAACTTTATGTCCAACAGGATATTGAGGAGGAGAGAAGAAGTGTTGTAGTGTTGGTACATAGCTGCACTTCCTCCTCAAAATACTGTACGTTTCACTCCTTTTTTCGTGATTTCCCACGGTTTTATTTCCTGTGAACAGATTTTCACCTTTTGCAGCCCTCTCTCAGGACAAAAGATGTGAAAAAGGGCAGCCCTCCCCCCGTCCCCCCCAGTCTCGATGGACTTCCTGGAGGAGCACGGTGGCCTCCAGGTAGCTCTGTAGTTTACGGACAGTTGACTCATCCAATGAGAAAAGGTCAAAGTCAAAAGTTGTGTTGGTGACATTAAAGTGTCCGGTCTCCTCGATGAGGTTCACGATCTGGAGGCAGGAAACGGGTCAATGGTTTTTATTCAAAGCCTTTACATAAACGCAAGCTATTTCAATTCACACGCAAACACCCACCTGCTGTAGAACGTTACGCTCTCTTAACGCCATCAGCCTGCGATGAAGGTCTACCAGCTCTTCAGTGTACGCCTGAAAAAAAAAAAAAGAGGAGAGGAAGATGTCAGGAACAAGAGAACAGAAGGTCTGGTTTTACTCTAAAGACACATATAAACACATAAAAGCTTGTATTAGCACTGAAACTATTAACATCACCCATAGTTTTACAAACTAGTATTAGCAACATGACGTCTTGCATTGTGCACTGACTGAATGGACATTAGGTACAACTAGGGATGCGCCGATCCGATATCGGCTCCGATACTGTCATTTTTCTTGGATCGGGTATCGGTCTTGGATCAGAGAGGGCCGATCCAAATCCGATCATTTTTATTTTTTTTTTATTGTGTATTATCCTGTGTTACTTCTGAAGCCATACGATAGCTTAATGTGAGCTACATATGAATATTTAAGTCCTTACATTAAAGTTCACACAAACTCTTTTCTCCGCTGTGGCTGTCAGTCATTCGTTCAGCCTTTAAACCCTGGTCACGTTCGGTTACAGCAGTCAGCTCGGTAAAGCTCTCTCCAAGATCATTCTGTGTTCCCATTATACTTGATTTGTAAATACATGTCTATGATTTTGCAAAAAGGACTTTATCTTCTTGCAGGAGTTTAATGTTGTTTTGTTACTTGCTACCGGGTGTCTGTGAGAACAGAACAAGGGCGTAAAAAAACTTTTAGTTTTTAACATGCACAGTAACTGAAATTTAACAGTGTTAAAAGAAAGGCTCAATAACTGTTGCACAAAGGCTCAATAACTGTTGTTAAAATCTGAGAATTTTACTCGCCAATGTGTGAGTTGGAGGCTGAGTATATGATTAGCACAGATATATTTTCACTCACAGTCACAGAACACTCTGACTGAGCGCTTCAAAGTTTCTTTCTCCGTCAAGCGGTCTGTGATATTTTTCAGTTCATTTGAATGGATGCGCAGCGC